AGTAAAATTCACATGTACTACAAAACAACAAGTCAATTGCATTGTAGAATAATTTAAAAATATTAAAAAAACTTCACAAAGCTAGTTTTAGTGCCCTTGGATCTGTAGATATTAAGAGTTCCCATAAGCTGACCTTGATTGCCAAGTGCCTTCCTAAATCACAGCCAGAAGCAGTATCTCCTACTGTAATCTCAGAGCACTAAGAACACTCGCCCTTCCCACTGACTTTTCATTTCATTTTCTACCCATGGGCAAACTGAAAAACACAGAGATCCTAGTCAGAAGGTACAGCCCATCCATTCTTTACTCAGCAGATTCTTGCTGAGCATGTTCCAGCTGCGAGGCAGGGAGACAATGGTGACTAAATTATGATGCATTCCCTTACCAGGTTCACAGTGTAATGAGGGACACAGGCATACACACAAGTAATTTCAAGACAGGAGGTGTAGGCACAGAGATACGCCTACGTTCTATTGGAGTCCAGAAAGAAATTAGCTTTGCCAGGGAAAGGCAGGAAATGTTTCATATAGCATAAAAGGTGGAAAAAGGCATTCCAGGGAGCATGGGAGCATTTCATATTTGAGTAATGTTTCCTGAGATTGGGAGACAAAGGATGTATAGAGAGAAGGGACATTAACCTGGGATAGGCAGGTTAGTATCAACTGTGAGTGCTCTTATAAATCACAACAAAGACTTTGGACTTTAACCTATCAGCCAGGGATTGTACTTTCAAATGCTTAATGCTGGGGCAGATAATATAAATGAATAAAGTAGCATGGGTGGAAACTATGAGACACGGTAGGGAGCTTTTGTCTAAATGTAGCAGCTGCTACTTACTGGTAGCTCTATCTTAGGCTGCCATCCAGAAATCCTGGCCCAGTGCTGCCTAATGTAATTTTCCAAGAGAAGCTGAACATACTTTTGTGTACGATCTCTTTATTTTTAAATGTTAGCATGAGTGTATTTCAGCAAATTTAAGCCATTGATTACAGGATGCATCATTATTTTATGTATCAGTAAGAAAGAAAACCACCACCAAACTATGACACACTTTGTCAATTTTGAGACACATCCCAATATCAGAGATGCTAAAATGTGAAAAAATGTGCACCTTAGAATCAATAAAATGCAGTCAATTTTTATTTTTTCAAAATACTGTATAGACTGCATGGATTCAGTTTGAGGCTGCCAGACTGCAAACTCTGTTTAAATCAAGAGGAACCTGGAGGTAATCTGATTAAACTCAGGCTGTAGAAGATCACTCTGGGGGTCAAACAGTGATGAATTGGGGAAAAGCTGGCAACAGGAAGACCAATGAGGAGGCTCCTGCAATAATCCAGGAGATAGATGGTAAGGGTTGAATTAAAGCTATGGCAGTGGGGACAGAGAGGAGGGAGGGGCCGAATATAAAAGAGTTTTATGTAATAAACCACACAGGTCTCAGACTGAGCATGGGGAGGGAAGGAGACAGAGGTATCTAGGAGGATTTCAAGGTTGCTAGTTTGGAAGAATAGATGGAGTCATCATTTATTCAACAATATTTACTGAGTATCTACCATGGGCCAGGCACTGTGCTAGGTGCTAAGCAGACAAGATAGACACTCTCCCTGCCTTCTTGTAATTTACAGTCTAGGAGGTGATGCCATTAACTGCAGTAGGGTATTGAAGGGTATGAGAGTTGACACAACGGGGGACAAGCAAGTTTATAGTGAAGAAAGGAAAGTTCTGTTGGGCGTGTGCTAAACGTGAGTGCCTGTGCGACCTCACTGCTGAAATGTCCTGCTGCCAGTAGAAGCCTGGGTTTAGAGCCCAGGAAATAAATCAGGTCTGAAGAGGCAGATTAAGGAGGTCATCAGGTTACCAACAATAGCTGAAGTGATTAGAGAAGATAAAATAGCCAGGGAGAGCTTGTAGGATAAGAAGGCTATATAGGGGCAAAAGCAGACGCTGGGGAATAGAGCCAGTAAAGAGAATGAGAAGAGGAAGGAGCAGACAAGGAGGCTAACAAAGAAGCAATCTGCAAAGTAGGAAGCCGAACAGAGAGGTGTATCTGTAAACCAAAGGACACTGAAATTATCATACAATCTGCCTATACCTTTACCTAGAGTTACTGCATAGAAATAATTTACCTTGGTAATGTATAATTCAGATTTTCAGAGTTATGAGTGTTTTGCATGAATTCCAAATAGGCTTATCAGAACTGCTTCTTATTTAGAGAGCTGTGATATTTTTAAATATTGCCACAATCTGTTCCTTTATCTTGTATGTGCTTGTGTTTTGCATGTATTTCAGTTTGACATCTAGCGCTGGAGTCAATGGCAGAGCAATGGTAATTCCTTATTTCTTATTTTCCTTCTGTAGGAGCTACAATCTGCCATTCCAAGACAAAAGTAAAATGAAGAATATACATTTATGCAACTCCCTCTCATGTCATAGCACTGGGAATTGGGCAAAACTGATGTAGGCACAGATGGTAGAGTTGTGTTGCAAGATCATCATGAGGTCCTCAGCCCAGAGCCCTGTAACAGGTGAGCCTGTGACATGGTAAGATACTCTGATCCTTTGGACTTATTCAGAAAGGCCTTCAGAGATCTCCATTTTAAAGGAGAAGAAACCAACCTCTGGTTAGAGAGAAGTGAGGTGGCCTCCCCAAGGTCACAGTCTTGTGACTCAGTGGCCAGTATTCATTCCATTATATCGAGGTAACCCAATTCTATTCTATAAATACAATGTATATTAAAGCATGGTAAACTTCATACATAAAACATAAAGGCCACAAGAGTTGGGCCAAACAACTAAACAAACAGAGGAAGCAGGTTAACTTTCAATCATATGTCCATGCCTACCCAGATCTCACTTGATTTATCTGGTCCATTAAATGTTCTTACCCTTCTCTCTACTCACTAATGTCACCAAAACAAAAGAATGCTGGGATATATAAATAAAGCAATGCCATAAGCTAAATATTTCAAATATTTGGAAAGAATGAAAAAAAAAATTATAAGCAAACTGAGCTATCTCAGTAATACAGTGAAACTTTACTAATTTACACCAGTGAGATGGACTGTCATTCTTACTCAGTGAAAAGCCCTATTTACAAAGCAGTTATAAAGAAAAGTAATATAAATTAATCTGATGTAACTAATGACAAGAAATTTCTATATGTTTAAGGACTCTTTAACAGGTCAACAAGAGCTATTAACATTTGTAACTGACACATTTTCTGAATGAAGCTCTAGATTTTATATTATATGAGATAAAACTCACCTCCCTTTTTAGATCTCTATTACTCACTGCTAAACATAAGTCCTGCTGATATACCATGTTCCTGCTGGTGGGGCTACGTGAAATGAACACTATGAAAACAAGTTGGTGAGAGATCCAAGGTTTTTCTGAACTGGTCTTCCTGAGAAGGTTATGAAGTTAATATAGGGCCTAGAGCAAAATATTGTCCTTTAAGAAAATTAGAAATGAAGTCTTCTGTACATAGAAGAGTAGGAAGATTAAGAAAGGGAAACAGGAGTAAGTTTTTGTAATTTCAAAGAGATATCAGCTTTGTCACTTACAACCTAGGGAACTGAGGCAACTTACAGAACTCCTCTGAACCTCAGTTTCCTCATTTTTAAAATGGGGATAATATTTAAAGGGAAAAATTTAAGTGGAAATTTCTTCATAAACTATAAAGTGCTAAGCAAATATTAGGTACCATTTTTAGGAGAGGCCTGCATTTCCTGAGTGGATACACATCCCAGAGAAGAAACCCCTGGCCTGTGGGTTAGGATATATCTCGGAGCTAATATTAGTAGAACTAGGTTCTTGAGTTAGCTTGCTTGGGTTCATGTTCTAACCATTACATAACAGCTGTGTGTGAGCTTGGGCAAATTACATTACCTCTCTGTGCCTGTTTCTTCATCTATAAAACCAGGATAATAATAGTACCAACCACATCAAGTTGATACAAGGAATAGATGAATTAGTACACAACCACTGATAGTTGCCTAACCAACATCCATTCTCCCTTTCTTCCTTACCAATTAAACCCCAGTTTTGTTCTAAGTGGCAATGTGCTTAACCAATAAAACCTGACTTGTCAGGCTTCTTTGCAGTTAAGGGTGCTCATGTGACTGACACAGTTCTGGTCGTTGAGATATAAGTAGAAATCTCCTGGCTAAGGCTTCCAGAAAAGCTATTTTCCTGGTAAAAAGGAAAAGACTCAACTGGCACAAGCCCTTCCCCTATTCTGCCTGGAACCAAGACACGATGCCTGGAGGAGGAGCAGCCCTCTTGTGAGCATTAGGAAATAGCCTCACATTGAGAAAGATGATGCAGGAACATAAGAGGATGAGCCTGAGACATGGATGTGAAGCTGCTTATTTCCTGCCTTCATATCATGTGTGATAAAAACCAACCTCTCTGTGTTAAGCCCCTATTTCACTTACCTTATTACATGCAGACACATTCTCTAACCAATACAACTGTAAAGCAGTTTGAATGGTGCCTGGCTCATAGTATTCAAAAAATGCTAGCTTATTATTACTATTAGGCCAGCATTCTATTCCCTAACCAGGTGGCTAGCAAATAATTCCCTAACCTCCTTGTAATAGGACCACACTTTTCCTTTTTGAAATCAACCCTCTCCCTATTCTCAACTGTCTGGTTTGCCTGGGACTGACACCACCCCCACTCTAAGTGTGAGCCCTGACTGGCTTAAGCCAATTAGCATAGCCCACTTCCCAAGCGACAGTGATTGTTCAGGAATGGGCACATAACTCAAGCCTAAGACAGCATATCCTCTTCCCCTGGTAAAAAAGAGTGAGGTGGGCGCTAGAGATGGGTAGCTAGAGACAGGCGATATGAGTGAATCTTAGGGCTCCTGGAGAGTGCTCATGAGAAGAGCCAGTCCAAGAGGTGAAAGTGGTACATGAATAGGGGCAAACCAAGAGCAGTGTGGGGAAATGGAGCTGAAGTCCTCCATCATAAATCTCTGGATCAAATCTTACCTTTGAAATTTTCAAACAAGACTCATTTGAAACTGGTTTTGCTAACTGATTTTGTGTTGGATCTTCTGTCACACGCAACCACAAGATTCCTTCTAATACTGTTGGATGAAAAAAAACACACAAATAATTTTAATGTAAGGACTATACACCTCGAGGGGAACTTTCAAAACCCTGGTCTAGTGCATATATTTAGTAAAATCTATAGGCAAACACAATATAAATTCATATCCAAATCAGCTTTCTGAAAGAAAAAACAAGATCTACAATCAATTTGCACTTGTGTTTTGTTTTTATTTTTTGTAAACACGTCCAGGAGCCATTAAGAATAGATGTACATCCAGGATCTAAACTGAATGTTGGGCCCAGAGGCAGACACTGGAAATGTATGACTAATATTGAAATAATATTCACTGACAGTTGTCATGGTAGCCTGCTCATTCTGCACAAAATAGAACCCACTGCATTCTAAAAGGATTTAGCAAAGGGAATCTGCTAGCCCGTAGATAGCCTTTAACTGAGTTAAACAACCTACTAAATGGTTTTGGTTTTATTATTGTACATAGCCTTCAGACTATATCCTAATTGTATCAAAAAGATCCCAAATATTTAAAATCACTAATAAGAATGCACAATATGATTTTGGTTTAACACTTGCACCACTCTTGAAATCTTTCCATCAGACCATGGAAAACAGCTTAGAGGTGAGTCTTACTGTGTGCACAGTTGAATTCATGTAGAAACCTAAATAAGACAGTAAGTGCTGTGGAAGTAGAGAGAGTAACCCACTTAATTTCTATCACCAATTAGCACTGGCTCTTGTCAGATGCTGCCTTTTAAGTGGGGCTCTATAGGAGTGGGGAGCAGCCAAATTGTTCCATGTTCAGTTACCTGGTTCTCAGGGGAGTGACTAGAAACTAGGGGCATCTCAAGACAAATAAATAAGAGAGGGGTGGACAAAGTATTTTGAGCTGATCAGCTTCTCAAGTGGCCACCTCTATAAAATCTAGTCTCACTGAATGTGACTGTAGGTGATTTTGAAGATGACAGATAGCTAGTCTGGAAAGGAGGCCTGCTTTACTAATAGACAGGCTTTTGCATGTCACTCAGCCCCTCCTCTCCGATCTGACTTCTCCTCTTTCCAGTTTCTTCTTTAAGAGAGAGGAGACAGGCCAAAATTAAAATCCATTAACATCCTACATTAGGAAGACCACATCAAGCCATTATCTTCCATTAACATCCTAGAACAAATGAGTCCTTTGGATTAACTGATATTCTTCAAATTTCTTGAGCTGGAGCCATGTCATATGCTTTTCTAAAAACTCCCAACACTGTGCTTTTTTAAAAACTGCCCAACACTGTGCTCCTAGATATAGTGCAAACATGTAACGACAAACAACTTCAATCAAGAGAATGGAATACAGGGCAATCTCTCAGTAGCTGGTGGACAGATTAAAGACATTGTCAAAAATGGTACAGGAGATAGTTACAGGTGAGAAATGTGGAAATGCTGAATCAGTAGGGTGTGTATTTTCCCTCATGAACTGAAACTCCCACTAAACAGCAGCATTAAAAACTAGAGGTTTCATTTTTCACCTATAACAAGGAATCCGGAAGTAGGAAATCTGGGGCTGGGATCTAGGCACCTTCTTTCTTTTGGCCAAGCCACGTAGCTTTCTTCTACACAACTGTCAACTCATGGTCCCAAAATGGTGATCACAAAATGATGTGATGCTCAACCTCATGTTCTGGGGCGAGAGTGAAGAACTGAGGGGAAAATGGGTATAGCAGATGAGTATAACTCCTTTTAAAGAAATAGTTTTGGAAGACCACCTATTTACGTACATCTGATTGGCCAGAATTGTCGTGCAGTCTCTCCTAGCTGTAAGGGAGCCTGGGAAATCACACTGTTTTTAGCCTGATGCATCACCAATTCAAAATCAGACAGTGTAGTGCAGAGACTATACACAGCCTATGGAGCCAGATGGCCTGGGTTTAAAACCCTGTTCCTTATTTACTAGCTGTGTGACTTAGTCAAGTTACCTAATTGTTCTGTGCCTCGGTTTTCTCACCTGTAAATGAAGCATAACAGTATCTTTCTCGCAGGGTTCTTATGAGGATTAAATGAGTTAATATGAGAAAAGAGCTTGGAACAGTCCCTAATACATAGCAAGTACTATACAAGCGTTTGTTCTTACTTTTAGTGCTGTAGGAAAGAAGCAGGATGGATATTGGATAAGCAACCAGCAGCACCTGCCACAAATGTGTTGCCCACTCTATAATCTGCCTACCCTGGTTACTGTGCCACATGGGAGCAAGTGCCCTGCTGTCTTTGTGAACTGCTGGCTCCCCAGGAGACAAGGAAACCACAACCCTGTCTTACCAGAAGTGGCCATTCCCATGACCAACAGCCCTGTCTCCCTTTTCTGGGAATGGAGAACAAGCAAAACTTTCAAGTACCCGAGCCGGGGCACCACTGTCAGCCATTTTTTGCCATAGATCATTAGGACTCTGTCTATTGCAAGTGTCAGTAAAGCCATTTCAGCTGGCTTAGGCAAAGCTAAGAATGGATTCCTTAAACAACTGAAGAGTCAATGGGTATACTTAAGCATGACCTGGGCAAGGACTTCAATGAGAGCACTCAGCTGCTCTGTTTCTCAGCTCCAATTCTTTGGTGTTGGCTCCATTCTCAGGCCTCAAGCAGGTAGTGGATGTCTTTCATGCTTTATGGTCACTCACTAACTTCTGAACCTCTTACCTATCTCCTGGCAATTCCTTACATTTGACTCCTTCTTCCCCAGTGTAGAAACAAAAAGTTTGCTTTTCCAGCCTCTCTCCTAGCAAGAACAAAAGCATGTAAACTAGGCTCTGCCAGCGACTTCAATTCAGAAGAGGGCAATGTGAAGACGTGGAAGGGTAACAAAAACCATCTTCTGCCAGGCTTGGTGGCAGAGGTGTCCAGTTTTCTGGGACAGCAGTGGTAGAGATTCTGGGCTCCACCACTGGTTCCAGTGGCTAAAATCTGTACTCAGAGGAGGCAGCTGTGAACATCTGTGCAGGTGCAGTCCCACAGTGAGATTTGGACATTATTCCTGGCTTTGGAGTCACCAATGTCTGCTTAGAGATCCTGTAAGCCACCTAATAACCTTTAATAAACTCATTTTCTTCTTAAACTAGTGGGAGAGTTGAAGCAGCTTAGATTATACTATGCTTTGGTAACAAACAATCCCAAATCTTAGTACAATAATAAGAGTTTATTTTTCATTCCCATTCCATGGCCAATGCAGGTGGGCTGCAGTTCTGTGAACACATTGCCTTCCTTCTGCAACTCAGGCCAACTTATCTCTAGGACATTGTTGTTCTCATAGCAAAAGGGGAAAACAGAAGTAGTGAACCACACTGGCTATTATACTTTTGCTTAGAAGTGGTACATATCTAGCCAAAGCAAGTCACTTGGGCAAGCCTATCTGCGGGGCAATGATGTAAAAATCCTACAGGAGAAATGAAGTGAATATTTTGAACAAGAGGGTTCTGTTGTATGCAACTAAGAGCCCTGTCTGGTAGAATGCAATAGTAAGATGGCAGCAGAACTTCCAGCCTCTGGATCATCTCACGTTCAAGTCCAGGGTGAACAAGAAAATGTTTCTTCTCAGGAATTCAAGCAAAAGCCCAGCATTAGCTCTGATTGCAACTGACTGCCCTGGCTTGAGTCACCCCCAACGCTGACAAATGTAATATAAAACATATTTACTGAGCACTTAAGCTATGTGCTAGGAACTATTAGGCTCTGTGAAATAGAGCAGCAAGTGAAACCAAATCCAGGCCCTCAGGGAACCTTCATTCTAGTGGAGGATGGCAGGGGCAATCAACAAAATAGATAAGTAAATATCTAGAATGTAGATGGTGCTAAGTGCTGCAGACAAACATTAAGTAGGAAATGGTGAGTGGAAAAGGATAATAGCAATTTGAAATAGGGCAGTCAGGAAAGGCCTCCCTGAGAAGATATTTGGGTAAATATCTGAACAAGGTGAGAGAACAAGCAATGGGGTTGTCTAGGGAAAGAGTATTTAAAACTGAGTGAACAGCAGGTGCAAAGGCCCTGAGGCAGAAGGGGCCTACTGTGTTTGAAGAGCAGCAAGCAGGCAAGTGTGGCTGGAGTGGAGTAAAAGAAAAGGCAAAGGAATAGGATATATAATCAGAGAGATCATGGGTCGGGAGGTCAGATCACGTAGGGCCTTGCAAGCCACTGTAAGGCTATGGCTTCTTCTTCTAGTTAAGGTGGGGAGCCATTGAAAGGTTTCAAACAAAGCAATGACAAGATCTAATTCAGGTTTTAAAGGGCCACTCTGGCTACTGTGCAGAGAATAGTCTGCAGGGAGAAAAGGGCAGAAGCTGGGAGGCCACAATCTAAGGCCAGTAGCAATGATCCAAGCAAAATGTGATGGTGGCTTTGATTAGAATGGTAGCGGGGAAGATGACAGAAAGCTAGCAGATTCTAGATAGATCTTAAAGTTGGAGCCAATAGGATTTGCTACTAAGATTACACTGGGGGTGCAAGAAAAAGAGAAGAATCAAATATGGTTCCAAGTTTTAGGCCTAAATAACTAGAAAGATGAAGCTGCCATTATGTGAGATGAGGAAGAGAGAGAGGGGGGAGCAGATTTAGGGGGTAGAGATCGGGAGTTTAGATACAGTTGTACTAGGTTTGGTTGCCTAATAAACATCTAAATGGAGATGTTGAATATGTAGGTTTGGAGTTGGGGAGAAAATTCTAGACTAGAGATATACATGTGGAATAATCTAGGTTATCAATGGTATTTAAAACCATGATTAGATTGAATGAGGTCACCAGGGTGGTGAGAATGGATAGAGAAGTCCAAGGACTAAGACCTGAGGCACAGCCATGTTTAAAGGTCAAAGGGATGAAGATTCAGCAAAGGTGACTGAGAAGGAGTAAGCACTAGAGACTAGAAACAAACAACACAAGAGGGCGGCACCCTAAAGGCCAAGAGAACAAAGAGCTTCAAAAAGGAGGGAGTGATAAGACTATTTCAAATGCTGCTGACAGATCAAATAAGATGAAGAGGAAGAACTATTCTGTGCAGTAGTGTGGAAGTCACTGCTGACCTGGATCAGAGGAATCTGGGTGGAGTAGTGGGAGCAAGAGCCAATAGCAGGGGGCGGGGGGGGGGATCTAAGAACTTCACTATAAAGGAGAGCAGAGAAATGGAAGGAGCTAGAGGTAAAAGTGGAACTAAGAGATTATTTTTTAATAACGAGAGAAATTATAGCATGTGCTGATCGAAATGATCCAAAAGCGAGGGGGTAAATAATGATATAGGAGAAAGAGGGGAATTGTTGGCGTTCCTTGAGTAGGCAAGAGCAGGCAAGATCTGGTGTACCAGCTCAGGGGTTGGGTTTTGACAGGAATGCAGACAATTCATTTAGAGCAGGGTTTCTCAACCCTTACACTGTGGACATTTAAGGCTGGGGAACTCTCTGTTGTGGGGCTGTCCTGTGCACTTTAGGGTGTTTGGCAGCACCCCTGGCCTTTACCCACTAGATGCCTGTAGTACCCCTCTCCCGGTTATAACAAACATGTGTCTCCGGACATTGCCAAATAGCCCCCAAGGTTTTGCCCACCGGGGGACATTTTAGGTTGTCTGGACTAGGTGAGTTGGGGGGATGCTACTGGCATCTAGCAAGGAGAGGCTAGAGATGCTGCGAAACATCCTACAATACACAGGACAGTGTACCACAACAGAATTAGCCAGTCCCAATCCACAGGGATATGGCGGGGAAGCCCTGATCTGGAGAAAGAAGAGTATGAAAGCACAGATGCTGGCAGGGGGGTAGACGTGGTAAGGACGGTGGAAGTTTCCTTCTGATTGTGTGCATTTTTTTTCACTGAAATAGGAAGCAAGGTCATGAGGTCAGGGGGTCAGGGAGGACCACAAGAGGTTTAGGGAGAAAAGATATAGAGCTGTCCTATAGGAGAAGTGGGCACGATTCTGGGCTGCGTTAAGGGCTCACATGAGCCAAGTAGTCATCAATTGAATGTGAAACCAGTCAACTGGTTTGTGTTTTTCTTGGACCGTATTCAGGGGCAGAGTAGGGACAGAGTCAGATGTAAGAGGTTGTGATTTTGTCAATAAGCACAAAGAAGGAAGGAAGAGGCAAACAAGTGAGTGATGAATGAAAATGACCACAGAATTTGAGCTGGGTAAGATGACAGAGGGGTGAAAGGGACTATGAAAGGTAGGTGGCAAAAAGCAACAAGTGTCTATCACAACAGGGCAGTTTCAAGACATTTTGAACAGGATGAGCTGCGAAAGGAGAAAGATAATGTGAGCTCTGCCCTACTAAGGTAATGACTCACTTTTCCTGGTAAATACATGATACTCACTGAAGGACAGAGTACAATAGCTTCTCAATGAAATCGGGTAAACTAAGCTTCCCGACTAAGCTTAGTGTTCAGGGCTGTGGTTTCTCTGGTTGAGTTACCCTCCCATCAGTGAAGCCAAACAACACTGGGGAAGCAACACTAATCATCTGAGAAACCAGAGAACTCAAAAAGTTTGAAGTGACTTCCAGTCTTTATTTATTAGTTAATGTATTTTTATTATAGTTGTCTGGATGCTTGTGGGTATACCTGGGAGTGACAGGCCTCACGAATTGGACTGAACAGACAGCAGTGACAGGCAAAACTGAAGCCATCTGAGGCATCATCCCCGAGACTCTGATGGCTCTCAGTTCCTACTTTTGAGGATTTTTGTTGAAAAATTACAAAAGAAAAAAACCAAACGGTATCCATTTCCTCACTGGCACGCATACTAAAAATATGACAAGAGACCAATGGCAGGAACAACATGTAAGCTTTATGGACTTGGCCTCCCGCACTCACTTAGGCATCAGAAGAATTAGTGTGACCCAGCCCTGCCACTCACTACCTGAACGGTCACAGGCAAGGCACACAGACTCTTCATCTTCAACTTCTGTTGAAAAATGAAGATCTTAATACATACCTTGGCTCTCTCACAGGGAAGTTGCCCAGGAATGTATAAGAAAGTGCTTTATAAACCATATTGTACTTTACTAATAGAAATTGTGCCTACACCTTGAGAGGGGCGGGGAGAGTGGAACTCAAGTCTCCCTCCTGGTCACAATGGAGAGAAGGAACGAGAGTGTTTTACTAAAGGCAGAAACCTGTGTTGCATACATCAGAGGGCACCACCTTCTTTTCTACACGGAGAGAAAGTTCAGGAACTTGGTCGAAGCTTGCGCTTGGCAAACCAACCCTTACAGACACGGACAGACGGAAAAAGCTGGAGGGAAAGCAAAACAATCCCTAAAGACACAACCCAAAACACAACCAGTGGGTGCAATCTTAGGGCCAATTCTTGGCAACCTTGTTTTGGACTGCTAGGCACTTGGACACAGGTGGGATATACTTATTATTGGGCTTCCCAGGAGTCATTCCGGCTCACTGACTAGCAGGGAACATAGAGCTTTTATGAGTTCATCCTCTAGCTGGTGGCTGGCCACTCCTGGTCATCTCCTGGCTCAGAATCTAGGTGTCACGTGCTCAAGGAGGCTTCTCGAAATGTATCAACAAAAAGACAGGCTGGAAGGGGACCCAAGATGAATATTATAGGGAGCTAACCAAGGACAGAGGAAACTAGATATCAGAAAACCCAAGCACTGACTGCAGACCTGCCTTTATTTCTGTGGGAAAAATTATAAGGCAGATCACTGCCTCCATTTTCCTAACTGGAAAATGAACACAACATTTTAGACCCAGATGCAAGAGTGGGGGTGTTTAGTCCAACCCCTGTATTTCACAAAGAAGGAGACTGAGACTCGGGAGGCGAGTACCCAGCTAGTGAGCAGGATGAACATCCAGACCATGCCCCCCGCACCGCATTGGTGCTCCTTCCACCCACCTGTTCCTTGGCCGAAGTGGGTTACTGTCACGGCCTGCCAGGCTCAGAAGATGTCACTGCCTGCAGACCAAGTCCACCTGGGTGCTGAAAGATGTCCCTCAAATGGTTTTAAGTGGGTTTTCAAGCTTGACTAGGGTGAGCAATCTGAGAATGGCGACCCGCATCCATCCAGAAGCCCTGGAGAAGGCAAATGGCACCGACAGTGAAAAGCAAGAAGGGAGACGATGGTAGAGGGTGGGAGAAGGTCCCAGCCCCTTACCCGGACCACAGCCCTCGACTCACAGCGGCAGGTTCAGAGGGAGCAACCCGTCTACACCATCCCCTGCCCTAGACAAATAGGAAGGAAGGAAGGCTCTAGGATTCCCATCCCCTCTAAGGCTTGGCTCCGGGAGGGGAAGAAAGCTGGGGCAAAGGACAGGGGCAGTAAGAGGTCTCACCCTCCGGCAAGAGGCCGACTAACCAGCGGCCTTTTCCAACTCTGGCAAATAGATGCCTCCGTAAAAACGCCCCCAGTCCCCCAACCCCGAGCTGCCTGAATCTCTGGCTCCACGGGCAAGGCCTCCCACGCTGCCGGAAGCGACGATATTCTGACTTCAGACGGGGCAAAGCCGTCGGGTCGCCGAGGATGTTTGCCAGGGAAGAAAATGGGAAAGCTCCGGTCCCTCACCGGCTTATGGAAGCTTCTAGAAGGAGCAGTGTCCGACCAGGGAGGACTTCCACCCACCAGGCTGCCTTGTCCACCCCTCAACTGAGGGAAAGTTTGGGTACAGGTTTGGGGCGGGGGAGGCACTCTCAGTCCGGAGGGTGACCCAGGCACCTGCCTTGCTCTGATGACACGTGCCCCGTGTCTGGTGGGGAAGACTCAGCGGGCCGCCAGAGCCACGATCTCCTGGCTTCTATGGCGGGGCAGGGCCTCGGCGGAGGGGTGGGGTTTCAACAGAGGCGCCGGGACTGATACGTCACAATGAATTAACTAACCATGGCAACAGCCTTCGCGGTGGTTCTATGGTGTAGTGGTTATCACGTCTGCTTTACACGCAGAAGGTCCTGGGTTCGAGCCCTAGTGGAACCATGGCAAAGCGGTGACTTTTTAAAATTTAATAATCCTTTTAAAAATGTATTTGGAGCGTTTTTTATCGCAGACGCGAAATGACAGATGCCTTCTCCTATCCTACAAGGTCAAGGCCGTCATCGTCCGACCTGAGGGGGTTTACGAGGGAGTCGTGATCTCCAGGACTCCCCAAGCCGGCCGGACCCTGCCCCACCTCTCCTCCCGCTACTCCCGGGCGGCCTCGGAAAATCGGGCGCTGATAGGAAGCAGCCGGCGCGGCCGGCTGCCTGCAAGCCGGGTCACACCGGCCCCCAAGCCTCCAAATACAAGGTGGCAATGCAGCCGCGCTTGGAATGCAGTTGAATTATTAAAGGTTTATTATCATTATGATTATGGTTAAAAGTTTAATTTTTCTTTAAACTCTAAAATACAGAGCAGGAAATAAAAAGCGAAAAACAATCCTTTTTCAGGCAGCAGTAGAGTTTGTGGAATGTCTATTCGTCTGTTTAAGTGAAGAATTCATACACATACAGAATAAATGTCAAGCTTGTAAACACCCAATAAATGCTGGTTGAAGGACCAAACGTTTCTCCAGTTCCTTTTCGTTCCTCTTTACTATTTCGTCACACTTTCGTTTGGGAGGGTTTCTTGTTTTCTTTTTACTGTTAGCCTTTGGGCTCCTGGGGGCTGAGGGTGTGGGCGGGGCAGGGGGGTGATGGCAAAGAACTGAAAGGAGAAGGGGAAACTCGGTATTTTACTCTGCATTGTTCAACAGTTTTGTATCTTCTGCAGTGTATAAATTTGCATCTTTTTCTAACTCAAGAGTATAGCACATGACTCTTACAATCACTTCATCAACTTTATTGTTTTTAACCACCTTAACCATTTTTAAGTGTGCAGTTCAGTAGTATGAAGTAGATTCTCATTGTTGCGAAACAGATCTCCAGAACTTTTTCATCTTGCAAAATTGAAACACTACCTATACCTATTCAGCAACTCCCCTTTTCCTCCCATCAACTTTATTCTTAATTCGTATGTGAAATTAATAGGTAATTTTGTCAAGCACTGTTCTAAATATTTTGTATATATCACCCTATTTAAGCCTCAAAATAACTCTGTGAGGCAGGCATTATCATCATATTGCAGATGAGAAAACCAAGGCACAGAGAGGTTGATCACTTGCCCTGAAGTCACAATGTAACAAGTGGTGGCGCTGGGACTTGCACCCAGTCTAGCTTGGCAATCTATCTATGCTCTTAGCTCTACTGGGCTGCACTGCCTCTCCTAATTTATTTAACCAGCCCCCTAATCTTGCCCATTTATATTGTTTCCAATGTTTGGCTATTATAAGCAACACAGCAACTCACATCTTTGTGTGTAACTGCCCTGTGCTCCTCACCCCCAACATATAGTATTTTCTTGAACGACTAGATATGAGCATGATGCCAAGTTGCTTTCTAAGAAGGGAATACATGGCATTTTCATACAATTGGAGAATGTTAGCGCTCATTTGGCAGGAAATTGCTCAATGTCACCCCCTAAAAGATGATGGCAGAGAAAGAATTAAGACCTGAGTCTTCTGATTCTAGTTCCTATTTCCATTCGTTGCTTCCCTGGTTACATTTAAATGAAACCAGTATCTTTCTTGCTAAACCAACCTCAGTTGATGCTAGTATCTTCTGTGAGGCTTCCTTGTTGCAGCAGGTAGCTGTGTGGGTTAACTTGATGGGGCTCAGCCAAAGACATAAGAACTAAATGGAATAAGATGCTTAATGCGGCCAGTGCTCAAGTTAATCCCCCGTTCCTGGGCGAGCTCTCCACTTCAGTAAGGTAGGGCCGTGGCCAAGGACGAAGGGAAAATGCCACGCAAGATAGAAGGCTTCTTGCTACTACTTCTCTTTGGCTATGAAGGTATGTGCTATTCAACCATTGACATTCATTACATACTTAATAATATAATTTAATGAATGATATAGTTGATAAATAGAAATTTAACCTGAATAATAAAAAACATTATTAATTAGCAACATATGTTAATTAATTAACCTGTCATTATTAATGAACAACAGTTTTCTTTCTGCGGATGTGGTCCTCTTTGTCTTGCCACTAGCTTTCCGGTTTTGTGAGGAGCCTTCCAAAGTTCAAAGGATGCTTAAAATCCGACAGAAAGAAAGAGGGCTCTCAGAAATTGTATAAAATAGCTATAAATTGCAATAATTAATGAGAAAATATGGCATATTCGTGAAAATTTTTAGGAGTCAAAGTTAGAGTGATTGTAGAATTTAATCTTCCAAACCCAGATACTGTTGGGGGTGGAGGAGGATGCTATTAATAATTCTGCTGGGACAACAGGTATAAATCAGGACTCTCCAGGGCAAATCGGGACATGAGGTCACCCTAGTTTAAATATGGATTAATGTAACACGCCGAGTACCATTGGACTCTAATAAAAAACATAATCCAACTGAGAGTCAGGAAGCCCCCAAGACGCAATAGACTCAATCATTTAAAAAATGTCTAAATATGACCCTACAGAAGTGATATAATTAAATAAGGAAAAATTAATGACAAATCTCTAAAATGTCATCCAATTTGACTTTTCAATTTTCTCTCAATCTTTGAAAGAACATTCTTTCATGGCTTTCTTAATTCTTAACTCATCAACTCAGAATTTCTTCTCTGGTTCATTCAGACATTGGAAATTGGTTGAATGTCTTCTTTGTGGTCATTACACACTTGTGTTACAGGTAATAAATGAGGAGGGCAGGGAGGCAGAGGACTGGTAGACAGGACTGGTAGACAACGAAACTCACAAGCAGAGTTAGAATCTTTGGTTTCAATCATTCTCCTTTCTACCCTCTTGCTATATTTTATTGCTAAAGTATTTGGAAAGACTTGCAAAAATATAATCCCAAGGTCATTTTGCAAACCCCAAGATAAATTTCTAAGTAGGGATCATTTAGACCAATTGTTTATTGTTATTTTTTTCCCTTGTAATAGTCAGCAACGTGTCCCGATAACTCTTAATATTTTAAGATGCTTTTGGTGTTTTGTCGTTTTTCCTTTATACTCCTCACTCTTTCCTAGGCGAGAAAATCTAAGCAGAGTCTCCCGAGGCTTAGATCTGAATACCCCTGGATCTCAGATATCCACAATGTTCCACCTCAGATTTCTTTGTGATTGGCACGGAGATTCATTCATTCATTTCTTTGTCCATTCATTTAAGGGCTCATCCCTGAGTATCTGCTACAGGGCAAACATTGTGTAAGAATTGGACACTCGGGGCAGATCCTTGTTGCTTTCAAAGTGCTGAATCTAACAAGCCTTGCTGTGACCCCCAAATGAGAAATCCTATAAAAAAAAAAAGCAGTTTTAAATGAGCCCCACCTATTTAGTGGATATCAATAATAAAAGGCAGGCTATTAGGCACGGAGGACAGCACTCTTTCCTGTGCTATATAGCTTACCAATCTTTCTGCATGGCTGGGGAGCTCCAGATATGTCCACGAAGAGCAGAGAGTATCATCTGTTCAGGTAGCATGGAATGTGGTCGAGCTGAAATGGGGGAGCTGAAATTCTCTTACCCACCTAACCCAGGCCCTCCGCCCTTGCACTGCTTAGAAGGAAACCAGCCAGCCAAAAATGGCCAGTGTGGCTTGGTGACCTACTGTGTGCTTTACCCTGAGCCAGAGGGGTGCTCCAGGAGACAGAGGAGAAAATACAGGTCGTGATTTCTGCACTGATTAAGATGGATGACATATGGCCAACACACATGGGAAAGATGCATTCCATTGCACAGCTGGGAACCTAAAGACAAAGGTTCTCTGTCTCATTCACTCTTCGCTGTTTCTGTTCTTCAGTGGCAGTAGCTCCTCATTACAGTGAAATAAGGTAAATAGATTGACTCATGTGTTAGACGAAGGTTCATTTGGGAGAGGCCACATCATCATGGCAAAGCTCTCTCTAGGTCTTATAACCGAGCCAGGCTACTATTTATCTTCCACTGTACATTTTGGATTCAACGCCAATAATGATTTTAAAAATACCCATCTCATTAAAATATATTAGTCTATTATTTAATCATGTTTATTCTATAAAAACAACAACAAAAAAGTCATCCAGC